AAATATGGGATAAATAAAGTACTTCATATCAGCTGACCATAGTGTCTAATTACGTCAGAAACATTATATGGGAGAAACAAAAACACTCAAAGAATATTGAACACAAATATCCCAGCCCTGCACCCCAAAGAGCCAGTTAACAGCCAAATCGGGAAACATACAGTCCCATTTTTTTGTTGCACTGAACCATGCACACACGGTGCATGGTTCAGTGCAAAGGTTTTTCTTAGCTTGCTGCATTCATAATGCAAATTAACATGGCATGGCATTGTTCAAATGTTTTGCTGGGTTGAGCCAATGATGTTGATTGGCGCCACTGGAAGTAATAAATAAAGTCAAGGAACTTGTGCGAATATAAAAACTTTTTAAAGTCAACTTTGGATAAAGTCATTAAACCTTTTAACCAACTGTTATTAAATCTGACTAGTAGCTCCATATATGTAGTTAAAGTCATGGTCTCTATCTATTCAACTAGGTAGGGCCTTTAAAACATTGACCAAATAACTGACCAAAGCTAATACAAGCTAATAGCTAAGGCTAAGGCTATCGCTATAGCTTGCTGTCAGGCCATCTAGAGTGCCCTACCTAACTTTAAATAGATACATTAAAAAAAATACAACTGAAATCTTTAACCTAACAGTTAAAATGTTAACTTACATTAACCGTTGGCTACATAGCCACAGCTTAACAATCTTGTTTTCCCTGGCCATCACATCCCTCAGATACATCACATACCATATTTCAGATTTCTCTGGTGGAAAAAAAAAAAAAATCAAATAACATAGAATTAACATTTGTTAAAGGCCATTTTAATTTATCCTTAGTGTACACAAATAATCTATCTACTGAGATATTTCAGTCTATATCAAAGTGGAGGCCTGACACACCAATTTAAATATCCCTATAACAAAATAGTTAAAAAGGCAGAGAAAAGAAAATATCACCTTAGGTCTAGTCCTGTCCCAGCAAGCTGTTTCACACAGACCTGCATCAACCAAGGAAGAAAAGCCATCATATGGGGCTTTGAAGGCAATTCATGGTGAGATAGAGTGTTCTTCATTAAGCAAGGATACAATTTCAGACAAGAAATATGACAAACTATCAATCAAGACCCAACAAGCATGATGGCCATTTGTAAAACTGAGAAAATAGAGCGCAGGCTACCACTGCAAATTAGATACCTGCATACAGATTTACAGCCAGACGTCCTGTGTGGGAGGCAGCAGGGCACTGAAAGCCTCCATTTACACACTTCAGTTTAACTGCAGTATTTGCTCTGACACCCATCATCGTGTAAGTCCTCCATTCATACAAACTCTTCTTCAGCCAACAAGAGCAATTACATATTAGTGATTATTTTTATAAAGCCCATTTAATCTTTAATCATTTGGACATTTGTCTGCAATTAAGGGCAGGTTTTCCTCCTCAAAGCAACTGATCTGTTACTGACAACACCACACGCCCACTACAAATTTAAGCACTTAAATGGCAGCTCTGTCAGAGCCATGTCAGAATTCACACTTGATTCCCTGACAAGTTATAGTTATATTTTTGTAGTTATGCAGTTATATTTAGCCCTGTAGATATATGAATACGAATGACTATGAGTCAGCACCACGATAAGGTTGTAACATTGCTGTAGATAAAGACCAAGTTCATTTGTAACACTATGTTCTCACATGAAAGAACAAACATCTGCAGTGAAGGAACACTAAAGAAAGACTTCTGAAGGTAATCACACATCATTTCCACAGAACGTCACACCAAGTGAGGTCTACAGCACATACTGTACAAAAAAAAATAAAATCTATCAAACTGTTTTTAATAGCATCTGATTGGCAAGCTGTCTTGGGACAGTTGGCACATGGGCGGGTAGCGGAGGAGTTTAGAGGTGCTAAAGTTCAGGCAGGAGCGATGCAGCACCCTGTGTCCTGCCAACAGACTTACAGTGGCGCAATTCCTGACTAAGTTGTTGACCCATGGCCCCCACCTGCCTTGACCATGCATTATCTGAGGGGTGGAGGGGGCCATTACTTTTCCCTCCTTTCCTGCCTGCCACGCCAGAAGGCTTTTGACTCATGCCCATCTGTCCTGGTAGTACATACATTAAGTGAAAGCCAAGATACTGCCACCCTGTCCAACTCATGAATGCCTTTATAACAACAAGTTGTTATGTAGTGTGTGAACAGAATTTTACCTTAGCAACAAACACCTTTGTGAAGAGGATGGTTAATCAGGAAACAGGTCATTTCAATCCTCAAATCACAATGAGAAGAGACCTTTTTGTAAACCTCAGTAGCCGACACAATGCACGCAACAGCCTGGCAATAACTTGCTTTCAAAAGCTCTGACACACATAAGAAAATCAAAATTTGGGGACATGAGAAACACCTCTCAGTATGAGTTTGCATGCCTATGCTATTACCACAGCAACCGAGGCAGACCGGATAACAATCCCTGAAAACACAAATATGATCTAATCACTTGCAAATATTGTCGGCAGTCAGTCTGGAGATTCAATTTAGTCCTGCGTCAGATTTGCCTACAGTCTGAGCACATTCCAGGGCCTTTTTAATATGGAAATACACCAGGTAAAAAGGTTCAATTGGAAATAATGTTAATAAACACAAGTAAAAAGTCAACCCACTGCTACCTGAATGCCCGCCTAAAGCCCTCATTTTGTCCGAATGAATATTTGACATATTTCTAAAAGAATGGTTAAACAAACAGACATGAACTTTATTAAGGACACCAAAAATTGTACCTGAGCTGGTTGAATGTCTAAGTATTGAAGCACCTCTTTCAACATGACAGGCGTGTGAGGAGGCTTTTCAGCTGAAACAGCAGACGGGTCTTCGGATCTGTCCTCGTGACCTGGACCAGAAGATGCACCAACGAAACAGGAGTTCAATCTCGGCCTTAGCCTTCTCCATGCTCTCCGCGCAGCCAGATGTGTTTTTCGCATCATTGGGTAAGAGCGAACAGTCATGTGGAAAATCATGATGATGTGATCTGTGGAGAAGTAAATTAGCAAAGTTACATGATGAGAAGAAAGATGGAAGGTTAAGCTAATCAAGAGGAACTTGGTGTGTAGTACTATTTTAAAGTTGACACTCCATCATCATGAAGCTGTGCTCTGGAGAAGCTTATCGTATACTCCGCCGGGGTTTATCCAGTTTAACAGCTGCACTGAGACCAATCAGGTGGGAACAGGAACAATACAAAACTATGAATTAAAAGCTATCTTACGTTACTTGGAAGAGGAAAACATTACGGTTCCAAATTCAAGGCAGATGCAAAAACTGTTGACTGACTAAACCTTTCCAATAACACGCTTCATTTTGAATATATTTAAAGATGTGGCCATGATTCTCAGTTCATGATTGCAGTAATATTGTGAAGCATTCTATACACGTCTATACATACTTTACAGCAGTGGTTCAGACACATGTGAATTCATGTGTGTGAAAAACCTGTATTCCATCTCACAGCAATATTTCTTTTTATTGTCAATTGACGGCGCTTTTTTATCTTGTGGACCTAGGAAAACACCTATTATTGTTATTATTATTATTATTATTATTATTGCAATGAGCTTCATTAGCAGGTATCTAAACTACATGACACCATGTTAGCACGAGTAAACTCCTCCAGGCAAATGACGTCCCCATTTCAGCTTCAGCCATAAGACATGAAGTTATCTCAATAGTTTCTATTTACAGTTTTTGCCCTTTTTATGTAGGTGGTAGGCCATTTGCTCTGCTGACACTTGCCTGCCGGGACTCTATTCTTCACCTCTCTTGTGCACTTTCTATTGCCTTGATTTGCTGACCCAGGTATTGAAACTCATCTATCTTCACTAACTCTGTCCCTTGCTGCTTCACTGTTACACCTGTTTCCCTCTCATTCACACACGTAATCTGTCTTGCTTCACCTGACTTTCATTCCTCTTTTCTCTAGACCATACCTCCACCTCTCCAGGCTCTCTTCCACCTGTTCCCTACTCTTACCATAGATCACAGTGTCATCTGCAAACATCATAGGCCATGGAGACTACTGCCTGACCTCATCTGTCAATCTGTCCATCACCACTGCAAACAAAAAGGGGCTTAGAGTTGATCCCTGATGTAATCCCACCCCCACCTTGAACCCATCTGTCATTCCTATCACACACCTCACTATTGTCTGTCTGTCCTCAGATGCCTGTGATTATTTTGTATTTTATAGCCTACAACTACAATAAGAGTTGTATTGTAGGGAAAGACTGATGCGGATATTATTGTGTAGTTTAATAAGTAGGTCCTTTTTTCTCATGAACCCCCCCCCACACACACACACACACCTACCTACCTCTTCTTGCTGTTTACTAAACGTTAGCTGCTATCCTTCAAGCTAGGAGTAGGAAGGTCGTACTAACTTATCTGTAGGTTGTTAGAGGTTAGCAGTTCCCTTAAACAAACATGTGCCATCACTTATGGTGATATTTAGTAGCAACTCCCCACACAAAAACAGTATTTTGGTGTAAAGGTTAGCTATCTACCTAGCTAAAAACGCCTGAACATGGAGCAGATACAAAAAGGCATGCACGTGTTTGACGTGGCCATGACTGTAAAGCTATTATCTATTAAATTTTGAATGTTTAGCCCACCCTAATGCTCTGTAATACGTGTATACAGGCTATGATATCAGCAGAGGCTGGACATGTTACATCTAAATAAAGCGATGCAGAGGATACCGTTGCTATGCCACCATGTTGGATGACCGCGCTTCATACCTACAGAGACTGTCAATAAAATATACTGAAAAGGACCCGACGGTGTAGTCAGGTCCATTTAATCAAGTTTCACAAATGTTGAGCCAGACAACCGTGCTTATGCACAGAAAGCGGCAGTAGCTTACCGTAGCACATCACGGAGTAGCTCCACCTTCCGCAGCGTGCGCTGTGCGTCACCACGGCCCGCCTAGTGACGCGCCCCTCTCGACCTATCAGATGCCACAGAGGAAGACGACAGCTTTTTTGAAAATATTGGCGGCGGTTGTGCTAGCGACAAGGTTAGCGAGTTTATTCACTTAATTCGAGCTACTTTTAAACCGAGCGTTTGATCTGAAAGTGTCGCCTTAGTAGGGATATGGACGATAGTCGTTACTAACAAAAGGTAAGACCGAAGATTGCATCGGAGACGAAGTAATCAAAGCCATCTTACTGTTAGTGACTGTACTACAGCTAGCTAGATGGCAGGGGCTGGCCAGTCCTGCTGTATTTACGTTGGCAGGATTGTCATCACATTGTAACGTGTGCTCGACTTCGACTGTTTATTCCATTTAATAGTACTGAGCTAGCTGTACCTGAAAATTGCGTGTTAATACATGTTAGACAGCATTTGATTATATTATGCTTATAATAACTTTTGAAGAATGGCTGAAGTACTGCACTCTCATAATATAATATATATATATATATATATATATATATATAGATATATATATATATATATATATATATATAGATATATATATATATATAGATATATATAGATATAGATAGATATATAGATATATAGATATAGATATAGATAGATAGATAGATATAGATAGATAATTATAATATAATATATAGATATATAACTATGATATATATATATATATATATATATATAGATATACTAGTGATATATAGATAATATATATATATATGTATATATATAGATATAGATAGATATATAGATATATATAGTATATATAGATATATGATAGATGATATAGATATAGATGATATATGATAGATATAATATAGATATAGATATAGAATAGATGATATGATATAGATATAAAAAATATATAGAATATAGATATCATATATAGATGATAATAATATATGATAGATAGATAGATGATATATATAGATAGATATAGATATATATATATGATTTAGAATGATATATATATATATATATATAGAGAGATATAGATATATAATATATAGATATATATATATAGAGAGATATATATATATAGAGAGAGAGAGAGAGATATATATATATATATATAGATATATATATATATATATATATATATATATATATATATATATATATATATATATATATATATCTATATATATCATCTATATCTATATATATATAGAGAGAGAGAGAGAGAGAGAGAGAGAGAGAGAGATATATAGAGAGAGAGAGAGAGATATATATATATATAGAGAGAGAGAGATATATATATATATATATATATAGAGAGAGAGATATATATAGAGAGATATATATATATATAAGAGAGAAGAGAGAGAGAGATAGAGAGAGAGAGAGAAGAGAGAGATATATATAGAGAGAGAGATAGAGATATATATATATATATAGAGAGAGAGAGAGATATATATATATATATAGAGAGAGAGAGAGATATATATATATATATAGAGAGAGAGAGATATATATATATATAGAGAGAGAGAGATATATATATATATATAGAGAGAGAGAGATATATATATATATATATATATAGAGAGAGAGATATATATATATATAGAGAGATATATATATATATATATATATAGAGAGAGATATATATATAGAGAGAGAGAGATATATATATATATATATATATAGAGAGATATATATATATATATAGAGAGAGAGAGATATATATATATATAGAGATATATATATAGAGAGAGAGATATATAGAGAGATATATATATATATATATATATATATAGATATATATATATATAGAGAGATAGATAGATGATAGATATATAACACCCAGCACGCCCCTGCGGGCGGTTTGTCCTTCAACCTCGGGGTCCTGCGCAGTATCTTAGCTGTTCCCAGAACTGCGCTCTTCTGGACAGAGATCTCCGATGTTGTTCCCGCGATCTGCTGGAGCCACTCGCCTAGCTTGGGAGTCACCGCACCTAGTGCTCCGATTACCAATATATATATATATGAATGAGAGAGATATATAGATAGATAGATATATATAGATAGGTATATATCATTATTATTATTTTTTAATGTCACTGAAAAATGTCCATGAGTATCAGTCCCTAACCCAAAACGTTTAAAACACAAGTGTAGGTTTTTGTTGTATTATTTTTTTATTTAAAGATTATTGTTATTAGTTTTGTGAAAGTTTCAGTATCCTTATGTACAGTTGTGGTCAGAGGTTTAGATAGACTCATCATGTGCATGAATGCCATGGTAATTTCATGTCATGGTAATAAATCCTAAAAACACTGTACCAACCGTCAAGCATGGTAATGGTAGCAACATGCTCTGGGGCTTTTTTCACTCATAGTGATACTGGTACATTACACAAAGTGGAGAGAATAATGAAGAACAAGGACAACCTCCAAATTCTTTAACTTTATCTCAAATAAACAGTTAGATGGTTGAAATATGGTCACAGTTGGGTGTTCCAGCAGGACACTGAGCCCAAGCACACATAAAAACTGCTTTTGGAATGGATAAAGCACTAAACAGTAAGCTTGTGGAATTACCTACCCAAAGCCATTTCTGCCTAGAAGATTGATCAAATATTGAGCCAAAATTATGCCAGAAGCTTGTTGATGGCTACCAAAATCATCTGAGGTGCAACTTACTAAGGGACATTTTACCAAATATTAGTGTGGGGGTGTATTTATATATTTGAACCTGTATGTATATGTTTGACCCTGTTTGGATTCAAATAAATCCCAAATAAATTCAAACATGTGCACCCAATTCTTGTTTTTTTTAAAGTAGGTAAAGATGTGTCCTGTACAATCATTTCACTCTAGAAAAAGAACAGTCATGATGAGTGTATGTAGACCTCTGACCACAAGCTTTGCACAGCTTTGACTTGCTCTGATTTCAAATGTTGAAACCTTGCTCTACACAGAGTGCATATTGCTTGTCTGGTAGTTAACAGACAAGAAATATTATAAATTACAGTGAGACCTGACCTTAGTCTGCACTTTGAGACGATGGAACTGGAAGTTCAAAAAAGCTAAAATGTTTCCAGTTTTTAGGACTCATTCCTGTGGCATTCTGTATGAAAACACTTTTAGGCTGTTCGCTTACCATAAAACAAGTTCAACTCTGCCTTCTAAGTCCTCAGACCATGTTTGAATTTTATCAGCATATTTTCAAGATTGTGAAATCCAGTTAACATTTTATTTGTTTGTTGTCTTGTTTTGTAATGCTTCATTCCTTGCAGGGAAACCAAGATGGCGAGTGATGTGTGCAGCCATGTAAAGGTTGTTGTTCGAGTGAGGCCGGCCAATGACAGTGAAAAGCACGAAAACTGTCGAAATGTGGTCCAGGTCGTCGATAACCACATGCTCATATTTGACCCCAAAGAAGAGGACTTGTCGTGCTTTGGGTCACAAAGAGTACGAAACAGAAACATCAATAAGAAGGCTAACAAAGACCTGAAGTTTGTTTTTGACCTAGTCTTCGACGAGAATGCTACACAAGTCGACATTTTTGAGAACACCACTAAAGGAGTGCTGGATGGGGTGATGAATGGATTCAACTGTACAGGTGACAAATTAATGAGTACAAGCTGCAGCTACAGTCTGTCTGAATTAGTCATGATGTCTGCCAATTATAAAAAGATGTGGAGCTGATTAACTCGTTCTGTAGTGTGCTAGTTATTTATCTGTCTGCAGCGACAAATTACCCTCACTGCTGTGAAGGGGATAGACCTTCAAAGATACGATTTTATTCCAGGGCTGGATAAATGGAGTGCAGAGTGTTATTCTTTACCATATATTTTGGTGCAATTGACTAAGCCAAAAAAAAAAAAGAAAGAATTGTATTTATTTCTCTAATGTGAATTTAAAGTTTGAGAAAGTATTACTTTGTATAGTTCTGTACTGTGCATAAGTCTTAAACCACCTCTCATTCCCTTATGCTTTGCTAATATAATGGGAAATATTTGCAGTGATTTATCGAAGCATCTGTAAATATTTATAAAAAAAAAACAGTATACCAAGTAAAAGTGGTCTTCAGGAATAGTTCTCCAGGCTTCTCAAAACACATTCTTTAGATGTTGGTAGATCAATCCCCGTCAAGGGGATCCTACACTGCTTTAATAATGTTAAGGTCCAGACTCTGGGGAGGCCAATCCATGACTGATCGTGTTCCATTGTGTGTTTTTAGATCCAGGTATACTTTTACTGAATTGACTGTAGGCTTGAGATTATTGTCATGCTGAAAAATGAAGCTGTTGCCAATGGAATGCTTTCCAGGTGGTTTTGCATAGTAGGTTGAAATTTGATGGTACTTTTCTGCATTCATAATTCCATCACTTTTAACAAGATCCCCGGCACCACTGGCTGAAATGCAGCCCCAAACCATGAGACAGCCTCCAATGTGTTTTACAGATGGTTGTACATGCTCAGTGTTGTCAAAATGACAAAGTGCCTAAAGATGCCATCTATAACTGTGCAAAGTTCTCTCTTATGTGTTGAGAAAACACTGTTTCATCCCTTGGGTTAGGTGCTCTTTTTATGAATGAGTCCTATAATAGTCCTATATATTAAGTGGGTTAACAACAACAACAACAAAAAAAACATTCCTTGGAAAATTGTCAGCTGGAAGGACTGGACCAAAAATAAACGAAAAAGCAGTGAATGTCCAGAGAAAAACTGTGTTTGCTCAAGAACATATAAAAAAACAATTACAAAATTTCTTCCTTGGAAGAAAAATTTTAAACATTGGAGGCTGGCTTGAGACTTTTAAATAGTGTAAGTTCAGTCCTCCTTTTGGATATACTTGATACTTCCATTGCTCACATTCCAAGTTTTTCACATTACATGTTTGGTTATGCTCTTTTCTAAGCAAGCTTTATGCTGAAACTGTTTTTGTAGAGTTTTCTGTAACTCTTAATTACTTTTTCACTTGCAGTGTTTGCCTATGGTGCTACCGGAGCAGGCAAGACACATACCATGTTAGGTTCACAAAATGACCCTGGGGTCATGTACCGCACAATGAAAGAGCTCTTCAAACGCATGGATGACGCCAAGGAGGAGAAGGAGTTTGCAGTTGCATTTTCATATCTTGAAGTGAGTATTGGATTCTTTATTTTTACCTTTATTTTTGCTTTGCTTTATTCTCCTTGTTGTTTATGGAATGTTGTTTCTTACGTTGTTTGTTTGTGCAACATCACTGTGTCAAGTCTGGATAGTCAGACTTGTACAGAAGACTTTAAGTTGTAAAATGTGTTCTCAACCTACACTGCTTGTATGTAAAGGTATCGCAGCAGGTGCGCATTCATGATTTTTACACCTTGCAGTATCATTGTGTCTGCAAGCTTTTACCTGACCATACATTTTTGTCTTTGTGTGGTTTCATAGTGTTTTGTTGTATTTGCACGTGTTCACAGGTTTACAATGAACAGATCAGAGATTTGTTGGCTAATGCAGGACCTCTTGCAGTCAGGGAGGACAGTTCTAAAGGAGTGGTTGTACAAGGCCTCACACTGCATAAGGTCAGTACTACCATCTATTATTAAAATAAACACACACAAAAACACTTCCATGCATGCACTTCTGTTGAAAAATGCCCGTCCTTTTAAAAACATTAAAAAACTGCATGAAAGTGAGCAATATTTGGGTAAAAGCAGGTGGTGCTAGCTCATTGTATAATAAGCATGAAACCTGTGTAGCTCATCTTGGGCCAGGACACAGGAGCAGGTTGGAAAAAATAATTGTGTGGATGCTTTAAGCATCCACACTATTGAGTTCCTTCTTGGTGTTTCCGTACACTTTTCGCCGTGGATCTACTTCCACAATTTTTGTGCTATTTTCACCATTCAAATTTTAAACTATTCTGTTATTTCTGCTAATGATGGCTATATCTTTTGGTATTTTTCACTATTATACTTTTTAAAATATTAAGCTTTTTTCCTTTAATTTGAAATGAATGGGAAACTTCTGCAATTCTGCTAAAATTTTCTTGTTTTTGAAACTTAACTACTTCCTCATATTTTCACGTAGAACAACCATTCAAACTTTAAAATGTTCTCAAATTATTGGGCTATTCAGGTATAAATCAGCTTTTTCAAATCTTTTACCGCTTTACTTTTATCCCTCTTAAAGTTTTGAGTTGCAAAATTGTGATTTTCCACAAAATACATGCGTTGTTATGGTTGCTATGCTCTTGGCTTCCAGTGTGCCACTGAAGGTTTTGCAGTCTTCTCTTCATGTCCGAACAACTTCTTGCTACTTGCTCAATTTTCACTCAACTTCCAAAAATTATACATCAAAATGTAGGTATTTGTGCTGGCTTTCAGGAAATGTCACTATCATTGTTGTGGGA